GTCTAGTCAACGAATCCGAATTATTTTGCGTAGACAACTGTTCATAAACACTTGTATCTTCTGGATGATGGCTTTGGTAATTCTCCAAGTCTCTGCAGCCCTTGCTTTGCCGATCTGCGCCCTCACATCTGCATCGGATCCACCTTGGTTGTCGATGATGCTGCACTGATATGTAAAGGTGTCAACGTCTTCTCCATCAAGAGTGATTTGGTTGGTGCATGTAATGTTGTATCGTAGAATCTTACTTTTCCCTTTATCTACATTGAGACCTTCTGCTACTGAGGCTGCTGCTACACTAGTTGTCTTTTCTTGCATTTGCTGTTGCGTGTGCGATAGAAGAGCTAGGTTATCTGCGAAGTCCAAATCGTCCTAGCTCTTCTATCGCACACGCAATGATCAATACTTCTTGATAAAAACGTGAGTTTTGTGCTTTGCATCTCTGAGTATACACATCTTACTGAATTCCATGTTATGAAAATCTGAGGTGAAACTCATTCGTTACTTGTGACCAAATTTCTTCAAGAAATTATAATATCACGTAATTGGAAATGAAGGAATAATCTTCCGTCAACATCAATGGATTTGTCAACCAATAACGAAAACTAAATTCATTCATTCGCTGTCAATTAATACCTTAGATGTTTGGCACAACGTTATTTCCTAGCTGCCAGTAGGGCGAATAAGCCCACATATAGTTGAACGTTCTTATCGATGGTCATAAATCATTTAATTTTCCGCTGACGCCATTTCTCGACTACTATCGACCGCATAGTTAAAATCCTTTAAATTCATAGTGTTTTTTTCTCTGTCATAAATGTTTCCCAGTGTTTATTGACCAGTACTTAAAGCAGTAAATTAAGATCAAAATATCTGACAGCAATGATTCAAATGTAAGTGGTACAACTAGTTTTGTTATGGCTACTGATTCACCATAGTGATGAATGTCCACAGTATTTTTCAGAATCCATATTTGATTTGAAAATCACATTGATCGAGTGTAACTTTCACATATCTTAAGCAGCATCCCTACAGTCAGTTTCTGTTCATCAGACAGATTATTTCATACATCAAATGAATCTTCAGAATATTTCATATAACAATCAGTAAATAATCGACTCAATCTCTGTTTAGAAAAAAGTACCAGTAAGATGTTGGAAAAGTGCTTATTTGCAATAAAAAACTACAAAAATTGATACGTAACGTACACTGGACAATTATATTCATTTGTGAGAAAGAATTAAACATCACTTAGGAAGTTCTCTGTATTATGCTAACTCAAAAAATTTGGTCGATTCGTGGAAATAAGTGTGGAAAATTTGCAGTTAAACTCCAGTCCATGCACATTATGTACAAGAGAAATCCAATTAGATGCTTGACAACCAGAACTAGAAAGATATGCTCATAAAACAATATAAATGAAGGATTAGAATTTAAGCCAATGTTCATTGAAATGTATCCCCTATAAAAATATCATGAAAAATTAAATGTATAAAATAAATGGGAAATGGGAGACATAAACTATTTGTGGAAAACCTTTCTTCTTCAAGCTATGATTTGACGTGTGAAATAACTGACGTTTTTTTTACCGGACAGAAGTTCTAGAGCGGCGAAAATCACTTTTAATGCAGCTGATTAATGTTATTAACTTTCTAACTGATCAGTAGCTTTCCCATAACTTAAATAAAAGGTACCTGACTTTGATAATTAATATAAATATTGATGAGTTCTAACTAACCAGTTAACAAGCATCTCGCTTTGCACTTTGAGAAGGGTTCAAATGAATTCAATATCCAGCTCCTATCTGCCATACTTGACGGATAGTAGTCATGTGTTAGAGAGAATAAAAGCATTCAGAACTATTCGGCGAATATCTCCATATTTTCTGAATTGAATTTCTTTCTTCCTTTGTTACATATAGGAGGAGGCTACATCGATTCTAACTAATAACCCACATATTTTACTTTAGAAATATTTTGTAATATCTCTACCACTTTCTTGGTCATAGGAAACCTAACAGACCATGTAACTAATTCTTCCAACCTCTCGTTTGTTTCTTTTTTTTTCTTTCACCATTGATATACGTGAAGTAACTAGTTACACACTCATTATGTATTTTGAAGATTGTTGAATTTTCATTTAACCTCATATGTTGTAGTAATGTTTTTTATTCTTCAGTCTAATATGGGCAGTGTTTTATCTTTAAACAAACCTCTTTTTATGACCTTTTTTTCGATTATTGTTAAGATATTTACCAAATATCGTACGAATAATCATTTTGTAAGTGTAAATTCTATTGGTCGACCCTTATTGGTCAATATTATGGTCGTCCTGACTATCCAAATGTCACTTCAAATGTTTTTCCCTATCGGTGGCCTTAAATGTCCATATCACAGACTTTGATGCTGTTTCCTATTCGACCTAAGTATGTATAAATACACATTATCTGCACCATTTTATGACCAGGGCCTGGTCCCGGATCCCTAGTCCGGGATCCTGATTCTCTTCTGAACTCGAACCTCATACTTTCTGAATGCTTGTAGAATACAGGTCCTACATCATATAAAAGTCTTATTCTTTCACTCAGTGGGGGTTGGGACACTCGAATTAGAGTAGCATTTCACGTCGCCGGATCCTCGATTCTCACTCTCGTTTTCCGACTAAGGTAAACTCGTAATGGTTCAAGCATATCAAATTGACTTGTTTATGTGCATTCGTAACAATTATATTAAATTGTTATCTATAGATAAATATGATATACAACTCAAAATCATTTTTAAAACAAGAATTAATTGTATTAACATTTTATGCATGTACCAACTATTCGTTAGAAAGTACATCATTTGACATGAACAACAAACTCTGATTTATACTACTGATGTAAAAAGGCTTAACTAATCATGACTCTTAATTTGATAATAAACCTTGAGAAAATTTATTGCATATGAAGACAATGGTGAAGCATATATTACAGTGTAAATTTTTATAACGAACTCTTCATCAAGCTAATCTAAAAATAAAAATATTTTGCAAACAACCAATAAACAGTGGTCTTTGAGTAAATTAAGTAAACTTAACTATCAGTTATTATCCTTATATGGATTTTCAACTTAACTGCTAAATTTCTAGTTTCCCTGTTGTTGGTTACAATTTGATAATCAGGCATTATAAAATAGTAATGATTGATGATTTTAAATATGTACAGACACTGATCTCCATAGCTCTAATTAAAAATATCGTAAAATGTGCTCACTAGTGCCTATCTTCGTCAGGAAATTCTCGGAGTTCTAGTGAGAAGACGTGACTAGTGGAGTTCAACCCTTTAGAGTAAAGGCGGTAACTACCAAAGGCAAATGGGTGAGGTTGCGCGAAATCCCTAAATCAATCAGAGTTAGACATTAACACCGCTGGATGTCGGCCCAGTGGCCCAGAAGTTAGCAGTTGGCGCACAATACCGAAGGTCCCGGTTCGCAGGAGTTGTGGATACGCCACGCTGGTGAGTCCCATACCAGGACGAAACGGCCATCCAGTGCTTCCAGGTTTCTCATGGTGGTCTAACAATGATTGATTGATGATTTCAAAAATGTGTAAAAACACTGATCTTCAAAACTCTAATTGAAAATATCATAAAATAATGTACTTGAAAATCGAATTCAACATATATTATCGATTCATTAAAAACAATCATATCGATCTTTAAATGTGTCTATACTCTAATTCATTTGACCTATAGTTTAAATTTAAATACTATCTCATATAAAGTAGTTCATCTTGAAAACAAATAATAACTGATTGCTTGAAACTTTATTACACTGTCATCCTCTTTTTTTTGTTGTAATTAGCTTCTTCAACTTATAGAGGTGTTAAAGATTTGGAAAATATGAAAATAATAAATGTTTTCATGATACTTCAATGATTATACTTCTTCATTTATAGTAGTTTATGATTCTAAACCAATCACTTGAACTGCATAGTTCGATAAAGTACCATAAATATTGTTTCAAGTACTTTTTTATCATAATATTCTGCGGTAATCGATTCAGTACTCTAGACTTCAAGTTTAAAATTAAACTATACTGAGTTTAGCAAGTGTACTAGCTATTACAAAATAACTTGCACTATTTTACAGTTTTGATTCCAAAAAAAAGCGAATTCTGTTGGTGTTCATTATAAGAGAATATCGAGTACTACGTATAGAATATCTTACCATCAAGTTATTAGTAAAGTGATACTTATCATACAGTATGACATGGTTTGTCATACATTTATTTGCCTTTCAAGAACTAGAATTTTTAAAATATCAAGTATTACTGTATCTGTCATTATCTTGGGTAATCAAATTACATTTTTGATAATTATGAAGTACCATTTCTATAAATCATCGTTCAAAATCCATTCATTGATAACTGATTTGGACATAGCATATACATCCTTTCCAGCCAACATTCAATCTCTTACTCATATTGACATAAATATCATATCTATTAAATAAATTGTTGGCTATCTGAATTCAGAAGAAATGAGTGGATAACATGTTGATGTTTCTTGCGCAAACGGAAAAGGCTTCGATGCCTAATCAATGTGTAAACACTAGGATGAGAATATATTTGAATAATGTCTCTCAAACTGGACAAAAACTGAATTCTACTGTGGTGCGCGCTACTATAAGTAGTATATGACGCGAGTGAAAACGTAATGTCTGGCGGCAGAAGATGGGGGGAGATCAAGTAAGGAAGACTGGGAACATAATGGAATTTGTATGAAACGCATGAATAGTGAAATGTCAGACAATGGATTGAAGATTTGCAAATTAACCGTTTACGATATGGTTTTCCCGTTTACTGAGTAACTCTGTAATTTGCGATAAATACAATTCGGTTGCCCTCACCTGTGTTCTCCTTCACTACACTACTACCAATCACTGTCTATCTATTCTGCAGACCATTTGACAGGTATTTGCAAACAAAAAAGAGCAACAATCTATTGTGAATAATTGTATATATTCATCAAATTATAGAGAGTTAAACTCAAAAGTTCAATACAATAATCTTCTTTTCATAATAAAATTTTGCGTATTCATCAAATAAAAAATTTCATTTACAATAACACTAGTAATAATAATACTAATAAAAGCAGTTGGATAAAATCATTTTCATTAACCTGATTTAAATAGAAGAAATGATCTGTCACCAAGAAAAAAGTATAAAAAACCTTGTTCTTCATGTGAAACATCACTGTAATTTAGAAAAAAAAACAGAAAACAGAAAATAGAAATAAGTAAGCAATTGACTAACTTATTCACTACTAAATAAAATCTATCCGTTTCAGATAGAAAACTCTGAGAATTTGAAATGAAATTTACAATGAAGATGATTGAAGCGGTCAGAACTATTGATTACAGCTTATTAAGGCGTAAAACAATGAAACTGTGTTCACTGGTTGTTCAATCATTGCTATGTGATCAAGTGTAACAAGCGATACAGTAAAAATGTATTTGTGACCACGCAGACTGTATTACACACTTTCTAAACATAAACAATCCTAGAATTCAAGGTTATCAACATGGTACTACAAGTGAATATTAGAAATCGCAACAAAATATTTGCCATTAGTAGTGACGCATTCACACTATAATCCAGACGCTTTGCGTTTGTATCGAAGATACAGTATAGATCCTTCGGTAAAGTGTACCATAAAATCCTGAGGAAGATTTTTATCTTAGCTATGATTTGAATTGTTCTTAGTCACAAGAACTGAATGATTCAATTAGGGTTTGTTCAATGTTCTTCTGAACATTATTATTAACACCTGATTCGGCATAAATAAGGGCAAAATGCAGGATGTCCACCAATTTAACATTTTTCATAATAAATATTTCCAAATAACTATTTCACTCATTGTCAATTCAAATAGTCAGCAAAATAAAATCAGTCACAGATGACATGGTAGTTCTTCTTTTACCTATACAGATATGAACGTTTAGTTGTTAGTGGTGATTAGTAAGAAACCTTAGGCATAAATTTCCTGCATGTTGGCTCTTGTTATCAGGAAGAATTTGAAACGCACAAGAAATAGTATAGATTCAGTTTGAACCAATGGTTATCACAATCACATATGTTAGAAATATGTTGTCCGAGTCACCAATGAATATGACCTTCGGACCTAGAGTTTTCTCCTAATTATCTTCAACCCAATAGAACATTGAAACACATTGAATGAAATATCAACTTATCAAGACTAATGGTCAAAAGTCAGTTTGATCAATGAAACTCAGTCAGCATCAGGGACAAAACCAACAAACTGCTAGTTACTACTCCGTATACAGAGATACCGAAAAATAAATCAGACTATCAAAAATGTTATTGGATGAAAATCGTTATACACTTGATTACATGTAAGCATGATGACCGGAAATATTAAGTCACACAGGGATTCGACACAACATTTGAAATATTCAACATTTAAACTGTTAAATCAAATCTATGACTCGATTTTTGTTTGCTTTATTTACCGATAACTGTACCTGTCCATTTATGGAGAATCACTTATCCAAAACATTGGTACATTATTTCAAGTAATGTTCGGAGAGATCTCGTTTCATATATTAACAACTTTAATAGATAGAAGTTTTCATCGAAATTTACATTGGAATTCAATAAAACTTTCAGTCAAAGGTTTGCAAGACTGTCACAACAAAGTTTATAGATACTTAAGAGTTTGTTTCAAAAAAGTGAGTTATTAATAAGATGATATGGATGCGAAAAATGGCCGTTAAGAGTAGAAGATGTTCGTAGGTTACTAGTATTCGATCATAGATGTCTTAGAAGCATTGCTCGTATATCGTGGTATAGGAGTAGGCTGGAAGAAAGTTAGGGGAGGCGGCCAAACCAAAACATGGCACAAATCCATGAAGTCACTGACAAATGTACTGGGTGATGTTGGTAGATGTAGGCTACGTGGTTGAGGTCCGCGAGACGAAAGTCACCAATGGTTAGAGACCTTGAACGACATTGCTCAAAATCGTTTGCAATGGAGCAAGTGCATCCATTCGTTTTGCTCTCTCAAATCCTAATCTTCTGGATTCGTCAGCACATCTACCTTTGTCTTTCTAACCTTATCTCACTGAATCATACTTCTTAAATAATATCTTCGCTCCCTAATCTTCTTCATTACTGCTAATAGTTCTACTATCTTTATCACTATGGGATTTGATTTGACATTTGCGTCTCTGTGCTAATGTGCTTATGGCAACCTGAACTTATGTACATACGTACGAAGTTCTACGTTGCAACTGACTTGGACAAGAACAAGCGCGAAAACTATTTTTATCGTTTAAACTGCATATAAAATAACTTCCAGTATATCATCTATTTAAAACTCGACAATCTGAAAAGGATCGCAATTCTAAATTTACACCGATAGATATCCTCACCAAAAAAGCTTATCGATTATTTCCAACATCATATCTAATATGCAGTTCATTGACAACCACAGGCTGATTATTTCGGCCTAACAAGTCTACAAGAGGTAAAACAGGATACTAAAAAAATTCCAGATTTCTTATTGACCAATTAACAAACATATCTTACCAGTTCTGTGAAGAAATACATTTTTTCATTTAGAATGATGACCTAATCAGTTGAAATTTCATTAAAACAAGCAAATGAACACATTTAATTCTCCCTAAAACCATTTCCATCACAACAATCAGTGTAATTGCATTTACAAGCAAAATATTTATTCAATCAAAACTTACCTTCCAAATTGTTTTCCAACAATACAATGCCATGATCTGCCATATTTCAAATTAAAATATTGCTTCAAATGTGATGCCATATCTTTATCGACATCATGTCTTTCCATTCCAGTTGCGGCGACATTCACAGCCTCTTCTTGCATATATCGATCCATATCGGAATCTTTGATGACAGCATTTTGAAATGCCATATTTTTATTATTGAACTAACTAAATTGGTATGCGATGAACTAATTTTCCGAATATATATATATATATATATATATATATATATATATATATATATATGCATATATAAGTTCATGCATAATTAACCAATACATCACTAATCGTTATTTCATCATACTAATGAAACATTACAATGATAATTACAATCTATTCAAATTTGTAATAGACATTTTCTAGAAAATTTTGAATTCTAGAAATTTTTGAATTCAATAAATGAATAGAACATATATTCTGTTTCTTCTTTATTTTAAAGTTTTATATGTCATTGATAAATTTTCGGTTTTCACTTCATCTTTCTTTTTAAAAAAAAATTGGAAATCATTGTCTTAATCATGTGGATGCTTATCTTACAGATAGCTCAATGATGAAAATGTGTTCAAATGTTCAATGTATGCATAAATATGGGATATATAGTGTAGACCATGTTGAACAAAAAACATAAAATAAAATTGACAGTTTAACCTCATTTTTTTATTAGAAATCATGCTTTAATGAATGAAAGTTTCATTGTATCCTACCGATTTAGTAAAATTATTTAGTGCATTAACAATTTAGTTGAATACATCATAGTGAAAAAAAGAGAATAAACTAAGACAAACTGCGTAATTTCATTTTTCTAGTTCTCTTTCTAACTGCAAAACATGATATATATATATGTATATACATCATGTGTTTTGATGAAGTTCTCGTGACTTTTATGCTTTTGTTATAAATTGTAACACTAAAATGGTTTTGTGTTCAGTTCGATAAGAGTTGCATACCTGAATTATTGATAAAAATTTAACCTTATAGACACCAGTTTGCTCAACTGTAGTAGTAGGATGAATATATATTCCGTTAGAATGTGGCAATATTCTTCAACAGGTTTTGAATCCATTTCACAAAATATGGAGTTGATCAGACAGAGACAGGCAGATACAACGCAGAACTTCTTTCTAGTTGTGGATGTTACTACAAACCTTGTAAATGGAATCAAATTGTTTAATGTGTTCGTTACAGCTCGACATAAACTTGATGTTTTAATCAATTCTATCATACTCTATTGGTGGTTAATTTCTAGTCAATCGTCTTGTTTTATTAAAAAAAACTTAAATAAAATTAAGTAAACCTAGCCAGACCGAGATCGGCCACCGTAGTACTTTCATAAAGAAGTATATGTATAATGTGAAAAGAAGTTCGGAGACTTTGACAGTTCCTAAGAAGCCTTTATTAATTAAACTACAATTCAACGGAGATAGTGCTAGCGATACTCTGCGGGATAGATTAACAAAACTTATTAATAGAACATGCTAAGCAGTTAAAATTGCATTGACCTTCTCAAGTCGACCAGCGATATCTACCCAAACGAAGGATAAGTTACTTAAGTTGGCCTCTTCAGCTGCTCCAATGGAGATAGCTATATTGGGCGTACTATCAAACAACTTAACCAACGAATGAGTGAACATCTCCCAGCATCGTTTATGAAGGGCCAGTTATCTTGGTACATCTGGTTGACAGTGGTCATATTGTAGATAAATCTATATCGTTTCATGTGATCTATCGTATACCTCCATCATTTCCCAGAGGAGTTCGATCCCGTCTCCTGCATATAATAGAAGCCACAGGAATTCGTACATTCAACCCCAATTTATGTATTCAGAAGGAATTCGTGACATCGTTATCCCTTCTGTGGCTGGAAAAAACTTCACCAACGTTCAAAAAAGTTTTTTGATATTTTTATTTTATATTTTTTAATTATGAGCATTATTCTCACATCCTGTATATGTTTGTAATTTTCTGCCTCTTCCCGTTTATATTCTTCGCTATCTCATTATGTACACACTTCTTATTACGTAATGGTTTTAATATTTTGTAAAGAATTATTTTAAGTCTATTTATTCACGTTTGACCTACTATCTCCAATGTCGAACTATTGATTAAACTTTTGTTATCGTATTTTCCTTACGACTATCAGTACACCTGTCTTCTTCTACTATCAACTTGTACTTTTACCTATTACATGTAGTGACGTAATCTATATTTCATTTCATTGTGATTATTGACTCAAATTACCTTGACTGGTTTAACATTTTCATATAAATATTCATGTATATTGGGGAGTAAAGCCTGATAACGATCTAGTCGAAAACAGTATTGTTCGCTTATATGTGTTGTTCAATTATATTAATCTAATTACTATGCAATAGCTTGTTTAAACTGTATCGCTAATATTATTACCACTCTATTAAATTTAAATATCATTCAGAACTCAAAATTATCATACAACTTCTCAATGCATTGCCGCCCAAAAACACTCACAATGTGAGTCAATAGAAACGAATATCAAGTTGAACTCATGAATAGATTGATGAATGTAACCTTTCATGACAAAGGTGTAATATCTACAACCTAAAAACAACATATATATACATTTTACATATATCTGACACATCAGATTACCAACAACTCTATCTTTAAATAACAAAACCCTTATTTATGCTAAATATTACCCTTTTTCTTGTACAAACATGTTCAGAGTAGATTTTTATTACTGAATTCTAATCATCTATAATGTTTGTGGTAGGTCAGTTTTAGTTCTCAACTTTCATTTAACGAACAGTATTACATAGTTCATAAAAAAAAGTCTTTCCAATAATCTGTAATTACAAATCTAACAAAAATTGTTATAAACACTTTTCACTCTTTTATTTCAAATTTGAATTAGCTAATCAAGTGACTTAGTCTATTGATGATAATGCGACTTGATAGATGGTATGTTGTTCAGCTGTAAAGATTGGATAGCATAACATTGACAACTATTAAATATTTTTTCAGTTAGAGTTTTAGAGATTTGTGATTTGCACATTTTAAATCATCAATCAATCATTGTTAGACCACCATTAGAAACCTGGAAGCACTGGACAGCGGTTTTGTTGTGGTACGTGACTCATCAGCAGTGTGCAAGAGAAGACAACCAGTGTAACAGCAGCCTCAGTAGCAGTAGGTCCCAACATACATAAAATGAAAAGTAAGATTCTACGACACAACAAAACATGCACCAACCAAATCACTCTTGATGGAGATGCCTTGGAGGATGTTGACACCTTTACATATCTGTGCAGCATCATCGACAACCAAGGTGGATCCGATGCAGATGTGAGGGCGCGGATTGGCAAAACAAGGGCTGCATTTCTACAATTGAAAAATATCTGGAACTCCAAACAACTTTCAAACAAAACCAAAATCAGGATTTTCAATACAAATGTCAAGACAGTTCTACTGTATGGAGCGTAAACTTGGAGAACTACGAAAGCCATCATCCATAAGATACAAGTGTTTATTAACAGTTGTCTACGCAAAATACTTCGTATTCGTTGGCCAGACACCATCAGCAACAACTTAGTGTGGGAGAGAACAAACCAGATTTCATTGGAGGAGAATATCAGGAAGAAGTAGTGGAAGTGGATATGACACACGCTGCAAAAAGCACCTAATTGCGTCTCGAGACAAGCCCTCACATGGAACCCTGAAGGCAAAAGAAAAAGAGGAAGGCCAAGGAACACATTACGCCGACAAATAGAGAAAGATATGAGAAGAATGAACAGACATTGGACAGAACTGGAGAAGGAAGCCCAGGACAGAGTTGGTTGGAGAAAACTGGTGGGCGGCCTATGCTCCATTGGAGGGAACCGGCGTAAGTAAGTAAGCAAAAAGTGAGATTTAAGAAATGTTATTTGTGATCTTTACTTGATTTGAATAATTCATATTTTTGTGAAGTTTAATATGGATCCCAAGAAACACTACACTGCCTTTCTATTCACTGGATTATATACAGCCACTGAATGGGTTACTGGGTTTTTTAGAACCCTTGAATTAGATACTCGAACGGTACACCACACAGAGACCAGATTACGATTAAGCAGCTAGAAGATTCACAACCAAAATAGAGAATCAGATTAAGCAATAGACAATATCGTATTCAATGCAATTACAAAACCATGAGTGAAAATGAAATCCGTCTACTTTAAATAAGTTTAATCAAGACTTTTTCAGAAATTCTAACATATTTTACTCCCTCTTACACTTTCTATTGTCTTCACCAAACAATTTTAACTCTACAACAGATATTCATTGTTTTTTAAATGTCTATATATTTCTAATATGTTTCATATATATATATATATATGATGGCGATTGGTGAATGCCAAAATAATCCAAAATTCCTGATATTCAATATTATTTAAATTTGAAAACACGGAAATCTATGAAATAATTGTCTTTTTTAGAACATATCGCTTTTAAGACAAATCAACTGAAAGTTATATGTTAACAAACCTCTATATACTGACACATTTTTACATAGTTTCATTCTAGGTAATCAATATTATGTATGATGTTGCATATATAGAGCATCATAGCAAGCGAGTTTCTCAATAAACACACTATTTTGCTTTTCTCAATACTATCTATCATCATATCAACATGTAAGAAATAGTTTAAAAACATACCTTGAAGTGCAAATCAGATAGAGGTGAATGAGATTTTGATAATAGTAATAATAATAATAATAGTAATAATAATATTGACTCATCACTATTTGATTTCGTCATGCATCTAATGTGTGTGTGTGGGTGGGTGTGTGCACTAACAAGTCAACAATGAGTATACATGTAATCATTTGAAAACATGATACATTCTAAAATCTGTAATACAATCCAATTACAGAATGTGTAAATACTACATTGTGTGTGTGTGTGTGTGCAAATGTATGCTAAAACTTGATGTGTGTTCAATTGTGCATATATTCATCATTTGGTTAGCATAATTTTGACTTTTCAAGTTAGTATAACAAACAACATAGAAACATTGAAAAACTTCGAATATTATTGATGTATGCTTACATTACTTTTTTTTCTCTTAAAAATATATATTTCTATCAAATACAATTTAGTTAGTTTTTCTCTAGTGTATTGATTACACACTGATCATTTTTCACGATTCAGCTTGATTCATTTTTTTTGTTGTTGTTGTGAAAATACACAAAATGGCATTCGGTAAAGCTGTTGTAAAAAATGCTGATATGGAACCTGTAATGCAAGAAGATGCTGTACAAATAGCTGCTATAGCAAGAGAAAAATATGAAGTGGATAAAGATATTGCAACTTATGTGAAACAACATTTTGACAAAAAATATGGACGTACATGGCATTGTATAGTTGGTAAACAGTATGGAAGGTAAATAGTTTTTTTAAATTGACAATCACATTTGATATTTATGATTTAAATCTAATATATATATATATGCATTACAGGGTTGTGAAGATTGTTAAGTTACACATATTTTGAAGCCATGAATCGATCAATGTTACACCACTATTAGAAACCTGCAAGCACTGAAAGACGGCCGTTTCGTCCTGGTATGGGACTCATCAGTGGCAGTGCACATCTACGACTCCTGTACCCCGCAGGATTCGATCCCAGGACCTTCGGTATTGTGCGCGAACGCCTAACCATCCCATACCAGGACGAAACGGCCGTCGTTCAGTGCTTCCAGATTTCTAATGGTGGTCTAACATTGATCGATTCATGGTTTCAAAAAATGTGTAATATTCATATGACAAGAAAAAAGTTTATCATCAGTTAGAAGTAAATTTAATAAAGAGAGAATAGTGCTTACTGTAACAGAAGAATATATACTAATATTGTTATAATCAGTATTGCCAGTTATATAACCTGATGTTAAGATGCTTATATCACTCAGTAGTATAATTATATGTTGTATGCACTTTATTTGATAGTAAATTAACAAGTATTGTCATCAGAACTGAATATTTCTGATTGATAATTATAAGGATAGTGGACGAACTTCAGAAAAGTACTTCTTTATATTATATACATTAAATTTTTTGGTTAAAAAAGTGTAAACACAAGAATCCTTAATTGAAAAGGTGAACTTTCATAAAAAAAAATGAAATTCAGGTGATAATCTGTGCGGCGGCAGTTTTACAGAAAGTTCATGGGGCAAAGCTGTGATGTTTATAAACAATTTAGAGAGATGAAGATCAGATTTAAAAACGTACTAATACTATAAAACATCACAGTCGGAAAAAGGCCTGCTAGACCAATAGCATTCTCTAGAATGATAAGATTGAATATTTTCATTAGTTATTCAAAGTGAAGAGCTTTCTCTGTGCAAACTATAGGTTTTTTAATTCAATTTCAGAAAGTGACTCAGCTTTATGGTTAACTTTTCGTAGATATTACGTAGGTTAATGCAGTCGTTTATCTTCTGTTACCTAACACCTATATTTGAATGAGCATATGCTTTAGTCTTTCAAGTTTCAAGTAATTTTGTTCAAGTAAAATATTAAATTTTGTCCGTATTTTTAATTAAAAACGTTGCACTATTCCCATTTCATTATCAATCACTCACAAATCTTTCTCTTTTTTTAAAGAATATTCCAATTAAGTTAATAACTGATTCAGAATACCATCCTAAATATTAGACCTAATCAATAATCACGAAGAAGAAATTAGCACTCAATTAGGTTTATTTTTGGTCATCGAAAAAATGAAATGTGCTATTTTAACTAGATATCGATCGATATCCGATTGATTTACTTAATTTTTGTGTTGAAAATAACGATTTTTGATTCCAAACCTTCGATTCCCTTCATCTCAAAACCTTTTGTGTTTAGAATAAGTTTAGTTTATCTTGAATTCAAGAACTAGTCATTCTACTGCTATTTAAACACATCAGTTACACACTCTTGTCTAAACTTCAACAATGTAAGGTTTTCACTTTGTTCAAGCAGCTTTTATTACACTTTTAGTCAGTCAGTCAGTCAGATGCAACGCAGAACTTCGTACGTAAGTACATCAGTTCATGTGGCCATACCACATTAGCACAGAGATGTCATTGTCAATTCAAATCCAATAGTAGTAGAGGTAGTAAATGTATTAGAAGTAATCGGAGATGTTAGGATTAGAAGATATTATTCAAGAAGTATGATTCAGTGAGAAAAGTTTAGAAAGACAAAACTAGAGGTGTTGAAGAATCCATAAGATTAGGATTTGAGAGAACACAAAGAATGAATGTGTTATTACACATTCAGAGGTATACCCTTCATTGTCTACAATGATATCACTTCTTTAACTCGACTCTGGCTACAATTCACTTTGTAATCTAATTAGATCGTTTGTATATTCAATCTCTGTACAACTAAATTGAATAATTTAAATTTTGATTCTTCTAACTGTAACTGTGAAATAGATATCAATAGTTCTGCTTAACTAAATGCTTACAGTAGTCACATCTTTTGAATTTTAGAAGATATAAATTTGGAAATAAGTCAATGTATTCTTCTCCTCATAAAGAGTGATCAATAAACAATGAATTTACTATTGATCATGATTGTGTATACGGCACAAAATTTAAATTTAGGATAATTTCCAAAACTTTATTGAAACAATATTCTTATGGATGCTTATTTTTCACTGAATAAAGTTCAGTAGAATTATTATTCATATTACATGTACTGTATATATATGCATATAGTCATGAAACGGATTATTTATTCTTCTGATTCAATCGTTAACTGATTTTCAAATTTTCCTTGAATCTAGCGAATTGACTATTTGTTCTGTTGAGCTAATAAAACTTACTTAGTTGTATGATTACTTGTTTAACGAGTCTGAAGAGACCTTTAATAGCTAAGAAACTTTTAAAAGCCACTTTATTCAGGTAAACTTTATAACATATGATTTTAACAAAAGATCTCATATAGTGAAGCTGGGTAATGCTAACTGCGATCCTACTAGTAGTACCAGTTCATTGAAGACTACAGAAATTTCATGCTAATAAATATCATGGGCTATAGATCTCTGTCGAACACATTCAACCACCTGATATCAGATTAACTTATTTGTTCAAATATGTTTTACGATTCTTTAAATTAGGTCCGATTAAACTGTTTGTAAATGATTTATACACTTTTTTAATAAGCTTTACAATTCAAGTCTTTTAGTAAATTAATCTTTCCTCATTCCGTTTCTAATAATCGTTTTAAATAACACTTGTTATTCAAATTCAACTTTATCTAAAATTTCTCAGATATCTAATCCGACCGGGATTTTTTAACAGTCCTGCACACTGATTTACGTAGAAATGACAATTAAGATTACAATTTCCATGAATACCAGCAACACACTTTTCTGGGGACAAACCTAAATTAGCTTAGGCAATTTGTTTTTTTTTTATTTCAATAAAATTCAAAAACTGAAAATCTTGTATGTTATTTCATTGAAAATTGAACAATAACTGGTTGTACAGATAAACATTTCAAGGTCAGTAATAGGGAAAGTTGAAATTCATCATTCTTCTCACTTTTTCTTTTCACCGGTCAACACATTGACAAAGTCACATGATAGTCATGATTTTTATCTATAATTGTTTTAATTCAAACGATCTTTGAAAGTCAATCAGTGTAGATGACACAAAACCAAACTATGATACCACTTACACTAGTTTGAAAGTTTTACCTCATGTCTGTTAGTACCAATTTAATACTATACTCTCTATTAAACAAAGCAAATAGAAATTCACACATGTATATATATGAACTTATAAAAATACAAAACTTCACATGAATTTAAATTAATTAATCTAATCTAATCTAATCTTTTGAAATTGAAGATACTTGTGTAGATAGATAGTATTGTTATGTGTCTAAACTCTAAACGAAAGTGTATTTATTTAGTTAGTAGTATATTGGTACAACAATGTTTAATTCACATTGTTGTTGGCATCAATTAGGTATACCAATTTATTTTTTTTTTAAATTCGATACATGATACTTTTCAAAGTAAATACAAATAAACAAACAAACACCAACTCAAAACGATTTTAATAAAACGAATTCATGAAATACAATGAAATATTGACAATTAGCTTGTAAGAAGCATAGACAGAATAATAAAGAATAACCCGGAATAAACGAAACAACAACAATAACAACAACAACAACTGAGCTATGCAGCAATTCAACAAGGTGATAGTGAAAAATACTGATATGAATGATGAAATGTTGGAATTAGCTATCCGTGTAACAGCTTGTGCTATGGATCGATTTCAAGCTGATATGGACATAGCGAATTTTATCAAGACACAATTCGATAAGAAATATGGTAGATCATGGCATTGTATAGTAGGTCGACGATTTGGAAGGTAAGCTTAAAAAAACCACTTGCTAGTGTTTATATATGTATGCATCAATAATTTGTCAACTTTTGCCTTACTATGTTGACAATATCATGTTTCTTTCTGTTTTGTTTTGTTTTGTTCATTTGTATGATGATATCTTAGTGATGTTTCACATGAAGAACGATCTTTCATATATTTTTTCCTTGGAGATCGTGCTATTTTGTTGTATAAATCAGGATGATTGAACAATATTTCAAAATTGTGACAAACCATTAATGGTTTTTGTTGAAAAATACCGATGTTATGAAAAGAAACAACTTTTCAACTGTTTTTTTTTTTCCAATCGCAACAATGCATGAATAGCGTAATTTATTTCATTTACTATGGACTTTATTAATCTTGATTTAAAAAAAAAAACAATTGATCATGTTCTACATTGATAAAATATCATTTTAAATACTAATTCTAATATTAATAACCATTGCAAACACTCATTCTTACAATTGTCCTTTATATTGTTATCTTTACAATCAATAAATTGATCAATGAATTGTTGAATTTGTTTTTATAGTTTAATGATTGTAAACCATTGGGAGTTTTTTTTTTAAAAAATTTATGCTATGAAATACTATTTTAGTATGGTAACGAATAAGTTAACTTTCTGTAGTGATTGAGTTAATCTTAATCAAGCTGTAAAAGTAAGTAGAATAACGTAACAGAATTTTTAAGAAAAAAAAACAATTTAAAACATCACCACGTGTTACGTATGCCTAACCACCGACTGCCGCGACTAGCTATGTTTTGTGGTGTAGGAGTAGGTCGAAAGGAAGTTGAGAGCGGTCAAACCAAAACATGGAAGAAATCCATGAAGTCACTGAGAAGTGGACTGAGTCATGTTGGTAGATGTAGGATATCTGGTTCGGGTCCGAGAGACGAAAGTCACCAACGGTTAAAGACCCTGAACGACAAGGATCGAAATCGTTTGCAATGGCGCAGGTGCATCCACTCTATGTGTTCCCTCTAATTCTAACCTTCTGAATTCCTCATAATCTCTATCTTTCTCCTTCTAAATTTATTTTACTGAATTATAATTCCCTAATCTTCTTCATTACTGCTAATACTTCTACTATCGCTATCACTCTTGGGTTTGAACTGACAGTTATGTCTCTGTGCTGACGTGGTATGGCAATCTGAACTGATGTACTTATGTACGAAGTTCCGCATTGTTTCTCTCTGTCTGTCTGACATCACCAGATATTATGTGGGTATCTACGATTTGTACAACAAACTGTAAAGGTGAGACGAATAAATTGATCTATCGAAGATTCCATGAAGTTTCGCCTTTTTGTGAGGTGCAAGAGTCGTGGATGCGCACTGCTGATGAGTCCCATACCAGGACGAAAAGGTCGTCCAGTGCTGTCAAGTTTCGAATGTTGGTCTAACAATGATTGATTGAGGATTTCATTGTATAAAAACAAAGATCTCCATAACTCTAATTGAAAAATATTTACAAATGCTATTTATAAATGAATTTAAAACACCGAGGAAAACGTAAGTTTTTGATAAACTTGATAGTTACTTTTAGCATTAGATTTTTCAGTATAGAAGACATATTCCTGTCTAACAAAAGCGTATTTTCATGGGAATTTCAATTACAAGTTCATCTACAGCGGTTTCGCTAAAATAAGATTATTTTGATACAAATCAGTGTCCGAAATCTATCAATCTTAGTACACTGCATAAACAATTACTTCGCAAGATATTTTTTGGTACAGTCAGTTTCCACGATACATTTACAAACGAAGCCTGAAACTTTCTAATTGTTTTTATTGGCAATTACTAAAACATTGACTATTTTGATGGCTGTTCATTATTTTGAATAATTTGTTGTTTGAGCGATTACTGAGTAGGTAATCTGCATAATAATGTTGTTTATGTTTTGGTATCTTTTCTGAATAAAAAAATTATATCCTCCATTGTCGATCGATATTTGATCTATCTCCATGGTTAGTATAGTTAAATAGAGAGTCTCAGAACTTGTAAGATGATAGAAATGTTTAGATCACTGAATAAGTTTAGAAACAATAAATATTAGATGACAGAATAGTTTTAAAATAAAAAAAAACAATGGAGTTAAAGAAAATAGGAATTCCTGTTTGCCTTTTTTGTACCAAGAACTGATTCAACCGTCAATAAAAAGAAAACTAAGAAACAGTGACAAAGCCAATTAGTGTACTTAATACTCAAGAGAAACTCACTCTTAAGCATACCGGCAATAAATGCTTGTGAACTTAAATAAAGTGCATATTCGGTCGGTTATCAGTCATTATCCTTAAGAGTCTCTGTTACTAAATAGGCTTTAGTAACAGAATCTTTAAAATTACTTGTGTACAATTAGTACTGCTTTGGTTGTCTTTGTTGGATATTTATTTGAAACTAATCAATTTTGGTCTTTTAAACAAATACAAGACTTTTATTCATCACAGAGTAAAAGCAAATATATCAGTCAATACAAAAGTAAGATCATCAGTCTAAAAGAGGGTTTTTTTAACTTTGGTATTGAGTAAATATATTTCCTGTCAATCATTATATTGATTACTGTAGTATATTTATGTTGGAAGGCGATAGATTTATTGAGTTATATCAAATCATCTTCATTAACTACAAATGATATTTTTAATTCATTCAAAGTATCGGTTAGAATAAATAGATTTGTCTGTGTTACTGTGAATATTTGTATGAAATAAATGCTTGTTTCTTTTTGGTTATCATCAGATGGCAATCTGAAAGTTACATCAGCTCTTCTCTATGTTCTTGTGTCTTCCAGGGTCTTTCTAAATTTATTGTTTATGCAGGTGTGGTTGACTTGGTTCTTAGAAGATTGATATTCTGAAACCCATGTAGCTTTGTATATGAATTTGTGTAGGAATATAGTGCCACCTATAACTGTTTTGTTGAAGGCACATAGAATTGTCGATCTCGCGCCATTTTTGTCACTTTATCCCAGTTCATTTCTTTCCAATAATATCTTCGTACCCTATCTTGTCCATTCCAACTCTGACGTTGAGGTTTCTCATTAGAATGGTCAAGTTTTTTGTTGGGCACGTCTCAATGAGTGACTGTAGCATCTCGTAGAAGAGATCTGTAACGTTGGCATTGTTATCGTCAGTGATCGCATGACACCGGTTCAAGTTGAGTGAAAGTCCCTTTTTCTATGTCTTCAAGGATGCTTGGATCATTTTAGGTCTATGAGATTCTCATTCTATCAGTGCCTTTTGGGCCTCTTTGGACAGCATCAGTGCAACTCCTTGTGTATGTGCGGCATTTTCTTCTTCATGATCAGAGTATAATGGCATCTCTCTTGATGGTAAACTTTTTAATCCAACCAGTGTTCAGTGTGTTTCACTAATTCCAAGTACTACCAGGTTGTATCTTTTCATTTTCGCAGAAACGTGAATAGTTTTCTCGGTGTCTTACAATCCGTGATAACTGGCTGTGCCTAAATTAATGGTTGTTCTGGTTGTGAGAAAGGGCATCGGAGTCGTGACTTCTGAAGAAACTCGGCTTCCATCATGAGATGTCATAACTCTTCTAAATGCAGTCTTTCCAATAGTCAGGGCAGAGTTTAAATTGTTTGAATTAATTCTTCTGGTTAGCATTTTTTGGTAAGTTTACTTTCTACGGGATGATATCGCTAACGCCATGCTCAACCCTCCTCGTTCATCCGGGCTTGGTATCGGCAGTAACCCCATAAGGAATCCTGGTTGAGTAAAGTTATTCAAAATACTGACCGGGAAACCTTTCTGTTATTAATCTTATAATACCAGCACCAGAGATTATCCATGTTATCAAGTTCACTAAGCAATTCATGAACCTCCATATTCGCCATGACATCCGGAGGAAATTCCCTGGATTGTAGACAATTCTTTATCAAGACCAGCTTAACGCGGTCTTCATTAAAAACATGGAAGTGCGGCTTTTCGGAAAGGTCTTCTTTACTTAAATTCATTACGTTACAAACCTTCCGTAGTTCGACCTAGGAATTCTATGAATAGCTGTGAATAAAAGGTTAAACTGGTTATTAATTATTCTAAAGTTTGTTCTTACATAATGACTTTTGTTGGGATCATATGAAAATGAAAATAAGGCACACGCATCATAGAGTGCTGTTCGGTGCAAAAGATAACATAATTTTAAAACTTTCAGCTTTAAAGAGTCTCGATGGTATATCAAGGAATTAAAAAATCTGTTAGCTATCATTTTAAATGCAATAATACGTTATGTAAACTTCACTTTAGCAAGATTGGTCTCCTTAGATGTAAATATGATGAATGCAACTAGACACTACTCGAATTTAAATGTTGAAGTTTGGATTCACACAGATTCCTTAACAGAGATGAATTCCTAACTTAATCTCTGACATACTAGGGACCTCGAACCACATCTTAGTAACAGGACATTACTCGCTGACCAAAGCCTATGGTTTTCTTTTTGGACTTCATCCAATGGAGAACGGATTACCTTGTCGTAGATATAGGGAAGGCGACACTTATTTAAAACATCTAAACTGTACGAGGTATTTTATGGATGCCTGGTAAGATCGCACTTTAATAAATTTAAAATGTATGCAATATTATACAAAAGATCAAACATCTAGTTTTTTGACTGTCTGGCAGGAACTGAACCAAACATTTTCAACACATATAGTCGTATATGACCAGGAATTAGACTGAATCTTCACATACTGTTTGTAGGATTTAATATGTCCTACAGGTGTACTTCTAGAACTGTAAACGCAATATTGGCGAGCGCAGAGTCTATTGGAAAGCTATAGTCAAAACAAGATCAACTTTTGCTCTAAACTTTATCTTTTTCTAAACATAAAAACAATTACATTAGTACAATAAATAAGTAAATTACAATTATCAAGTAAGACGAGCAAACGTACCGACCAATATAGCGTGTCTTATGGAAATGAGTACAGTTATGAGTCACATCAATAGAATAAGATAATAATGTCAATCAGTTTGTGGGTCATTTACAACAAAGAAGGCTTACAGACACGTCAGGTCAGATCACGTGGTGGGCGCTTAAGCCACAATCTGATTGGTCAGTTATGGCATAACTACAATTAGTTATAAAATAACTAACGCTGTATGTTAAATTGCGTTCGGATGCTACAACTCACATATTTTTTACAATTATTAGTTGCTTTCAATAAGTTTGTCAAAGCCTAGCGATTTCATTTAGAAACTTGAGTCAAAAATTTTTGACTCGAAGTGTCGCATTATTCCTCCATGGTATGATACTCGTTAACGCTACATAAATTTACACTATCTTATTTAGACTTACTCTCGGATTGTAGTTCATATATATACAGGACATGTGCAGGCTGCAAAATCCAGCCTAAGGCCCCTGCTTAGTTCAGCTTGGTAATGGGGGCAGCCTTGTCAATGGAAATAGAGCTTATCACACACTCCAACGCCGTAACTGATAAAGAGCCTTTCAAGGCCAAAACCTAAAAAACCGAAGGGATTGCCTGTTATGTATGTTTGCATACGTGAATTGCTTGAGTCTCTGCTTACGTATTCTGTGTGCGTTGGTAATGTGCAGGGTACGCTCGTGGGCTTGTAGTGATCTACTTTCATGAAGAGAAGGCGATTGGTTGAATGGAAACACATATTATTATAATCACTTGTACCAGTAGTTGTTTTACTGCACTTTTCTGTTTAATCGTACCAAAAACGCACAATTTCCATTGTTTGTCACCTTCACCTTGCTCACGTACACACGGTAGTCTCTTCCGCACACCTAGGCACGATCTTGGTATTATTTCGTTACCAAGAGATCGCCAAAAAGTATACATTCCTTTCCCGACCCAATATTTTTCCTTGTTTCGATCCTACTGAGAGAGTCAACCTGGTAATTGACACGTAACGTATAGCTGATCACAGTCAATTTTAGCTCGACACGCTTCAGGCTCGCACTGAAAGGAACTCTAGCTGAATAATCTTCCACAAATGAAAGCGTGAGGCCTAAACTGATAAAAAAAATACAATCCTGTGAATTAGAAAATGAAGGAGAACAAATGGTTTCTATCTATGGATATGGCATGAAGTGCTGGGGCGAAATCCTGAGTACCAGTGATAGGCATGTAGCACACGATAAACATTTTGTGATGGCGAACAAGTTCATCTGAGTGGTGATCATCTTTCCTCCCACGGAGTGATCGAACTTTAATGTGTACCAAGTGGCACTTAGGTGAAAACTTGTGTGCTTCTAGTGAACATGTACCATATGTGACCGGGTTAAGTGTTCCTATACACATATGGCAAGATATATTGGGCAAAAACCCATGTGTTTCAGATAGGTACGCAACAAACGCTTGCTCCTTGAGCGATTCGCGCTCACCAACATCCTCGGAGTTATAGTACACCACATAAATATGTTCATGCAGTGGATTTCAGTTCCTCGAATGAACATTACTTCCAGGTACGTCATAAGCCTTAGCCAATATCTGTCAGTGGATCACTGACATACATTTCATTGATTTTGACAATTTTATACTAAATATAAACAACCCACAGCTGCTTTGAACATTATTCAACTTTAAAAACTTAAGTTTAAGAATCACCTAATACTCATTCCAACATCATCAGAAAGTTTATTCTGATCGGACTTATTTTAGTTACTCCTGTTATTCTGGAGAAATGGAGTTCACAGTCTTCCCTTTCATTTTCCGTCCTCAACTCTGTGCAACTGCACCGTTCATATACTTACCAAACCAAGCAATTCCACTTACTCTAAAATCAATACATTCTCTGCACTTTCCTTGAATTTACATTAGGTTTTCGATCCGACATACGTTATATGCTTCTCTGAATTTTGAACCACTGACCTGATCTGAAAATAGGTCGGATTCGCTTTTAATGTAATTTATTGCGAGTCAGTTAACTACTAAAAATTAAGTGATTAAACCATGCTTCGATGATGATGAGTCTGTAGTGGAATACTTTTGCGAAGAAAACACAATTATTGAAATATAAACATTTGTCATCGTACTTAATTCTGAAAATAATTGTTATATTGTACTCCTTTTGTTTATCTGTACTAGAAACTATCTCTTGTGTGCCAAGCTTGTTATTCCCACTCTGCGCTCTTCCTAGTTAGTTGCTAACTACTTGTGTACCCTAGCCTCGATATTATTTCGATATCACAAGGCTAGCGATAAATATACTTCTTCATCCAGAATAATCTTTTCTTTGACTTCTGGATTATCGGGATTTACATTAGTAATCCCGCGAAGGAAAATATTTATTCCTACTTACCATAAGTCAATTTTAGCCTCTCCTCGCATTGATTGCTCTCACTCTCAGGGGAACACTTTTACGAAGAAAACGTCATGATTGTACTAGTTTGATTTAACTGTACCAAAAACACTTTCTTGCGCGCAACGTTCTTTTCGCGTTGCTGCTATTTTTCATAACTTGCTGCTCTCTATGTAATGCCTACTTTCTCCTTCAATAAATATTCGAACATGGATTTATTTTTGATTTACGTGATGGGACAGTATGGAACATTTAGTGGTGGGCATAGTCAATCTCGACTCGGACACCACTAAACACTTGTGCTCACTATCACTTCATACACGTTTCGAACATATGTTTCGAACTTGAAATTACTTCACGTCTTCTATTTTGATATTTGCATCCTCGCTTCAATTCAAACGCGTCGCATCACCCCAGAAACAAAGAAAGTTCTTAATTCAATTCAATATAACACAAAAGTACCCACCTTAGTCACTTTAAACCTCATGACGCAATTTTATTGATTTGGAAGTGAAAAATATCCCACTACCCGTACAAATACTAAATTCCATTAATCGTGGTCAAACATATTTTTCATTGCTTTTGATGAATAATATATGTTTAAATTCGTTGACGGGATTTCGTCTTTCAAAAATACATGAAATTCAACTTCAGAACAAGAACAACATATTGGTTTGACTTTGTAGATAGATCCAGTGGCATGGAAAAGCATCATCAGCATATCGATCAGCCAGCTACAACAAGACATGTATTTCAGCTTTTATAATTTAGCTTTAACTAAACAATCGTGTTTCTGAAAACAAGTAATTCTGTAATCCATCTACTCCATTGAAAACCTCTCTAAACTTGTCATTGAATTTACTTGCGAGTATTCAGCAACTTATGTAGCAACTTGATCTTGCGTGTTTAATAGTTTGCGACATAACACTTCAAACCATTATTGTGCGTGACTGCGTTTATTATGAGATTCAAAGAGATTTCTTGTGAACGTTTACGTGTGAATAAGCTGTCAGTCAGTGGTGAAAACTGCAAATGGAGGCTTGAGCACGAAGTGGCCTCATATTACACATTCGATATGAATAGAGTCCGTTTGGGGAATCCAGTGGAACGCAATGTTTATCTAAATTCAAATAACTGAATGTCGGTTGCACCACTCAATGCTTTCAAGCCGCTGACTTCATTTAACAGATTTATACTAGCTCGTGAAAAAGATGTTGGACATTGGATCATGTTCTATTTTGAGGAGAAGTCCGACTGTTCTCAGTTAAGTGGAATTTCGTCGACACAAAGTCTTGAACAACATTTTTATTACGCATTCCGAGGTTTATGCATTCATTGTATACTATAAAATTCTAAGATTGACATCAGTATGCACCTGGAGGGCCAAAAATACTTCATTATATAAAAAAACTAAGCCGACAAAATACGGGATAGCCTTGGACTCCAGATGTAGCGCAGATAACTGGTGCCACTAAATTTGGCTATAATACAACTCTCTGTGCTGAATTGTGAGCTATATTCCAGTCGGATATTTTTGACTTTTTTTAAAGACACTGAAAAAACAGAAAAATGCACTAAAGAATACATTACACTTACGTGTTATATTCTACAACTCTGGATTACAGTTGCGCGACCTATGTTTCTTCAGTGTTATGCCGCAAGATTCGAAATATCTCCTAGTTAAGTACTCATCTGTAGTTTTGAGAAATTTGAGGGTCTTGAACTATGACTTTGATACACTCCATGTCCCTAAACAGCCAGATTCATTTTTGTAGGTTAGATTCTTAATAAACCAACTCTTAAAGGTCTTTTTTCAAAGTATCCCGTAAAGCAGAGTTTATACACATACTTCACTTCCTATTTCGAACACTAAATCCTGCAAAATATAATGAAGAATTAAGGTGAGGAATAATTAATTAGCTTATTTCTAAAGTGGTCTTCTAGGACCCAAGTCTGATATTGGATTCAAGAATGCGACTTACCGCTGGTTACGCGTTTTGTCAGCCGAGGTACGTTTATTTTCACCTAATGTAGTTAGTTTCCTAAAGTGATTTCCAACTTTTTCGCCACATGGAGTTGCCCTGCCGGAATTGGTGTTATGCGTCTTCTGGCAAATTTATCTTCTTATGTCCTAGTAGTTTCAAACGACATAATACCTTTTGTTAAACAAAGCTTGGGAAATAGTCTTGACTGTGAACGGGTGCAGTCAAACTCAATGAAAAATGCCCAGCTTAATTTGGAATATCTGTTTTCTCGCATTTATTCAGAAGAGCTACTCCAAAGGTTAGTTTCCTCACTATCTGATTTAATTACACAGTACCAACGCCTTTTATACAGTTTGTTTAAGCATTCCATTTCCACCAATCGATTAAAATAAGTTCTGATTTCAGTTTTTGAGACACTCAGGCAGTGCCTGTTCCTTACAAATTGTGATTCTCAGGAAATGTATTGGCTTTTATTTCACAACTGATTTTACTAACAGTTTACAATACATACTCCTAGCTACGACTATAATTGTCGGCTAACAGGGCAATTAAACTAACAATGTATCATTTATAACTCGACAGATTTCTTTATATCTTGTACCTGGTCAAAGAGCAACACATACTAGATGACGGGTTGCTCATAAATTTACTAACCTTCACTTTCAAAAGTCCTTATGTTTCTTCAGCTTTCAAATACATTTTCTTGTTTATTAGGTTTAGCGTTACCATTTTAGGCTAACAGCTTTCATGAACATTCAGGTTAAGTAAATCTATGTTATACAACAGTTTTCAGATTACTGTCTTCTTTCACTTTCCTTACTATGCAAATTCAATTTTCTTTTATAAATAAGCATTTAGTTACTTTTATGCTAAATAGACGATGTTCAACGTTGGGAAGCAAACTTGGAGCTGCATTGCTGTACCTCACACCAAAGTCATCAGAATGACTTGTAGAATTAAAATGCTAGGTATAAAGTCTCAATGTTCGAATGGCTGAATAATTTTCACCCGTCACTGCACAATCCTTGAGCTGTTTTAGATTTTTATAACTTACTATTCTAGCTAGTGTACAAATCAAGGGTTGGTACGTGTGTAGCGTATCTCTCGTAATTGGTTTACTTCTTTTACTTACGTCAACGTCACTCAATAGTAGTTACTCCATCCACTAGTAATTGTCATATAGGAGTTGTTTGTTAAGATTGTCATGAGTTGTATGCTTTTCATCTACTTTAACTAAAGGGAACTACAGAAAGGATATGAAGCTTTGGATGTTGAAGTTCAGCATGCATCAAAAGAACTTTTCAAATTCAAGAAACTTATTGTTTCAGATTCCGATTTTCAAACTGATATGTAAGTTGACCTACTTTCATCGAATAGTTAATTAGATCTTATTACTTTTCACATCGTATTGTTTAATAATCGACCTTGTTTTTTAGTCATTACTCAGTGTTTTCCATATATCTAGAGTTTAGGTCAGTCAGTAAGTTACAACGTAAAACTTCGTACATGCGTACATCAGTTCAAGTTGCCATACCACATTGGTACAAATGCAATTGTCAATTCAAGGCCCATAGTAGTAAATGTAGTAGAAATAATAGCGGTCATGGAGATCATGGTTCATAGACATTATTCAAGAAGTATAATTCAGTGAAATAAATTAAAAAAAGAAGATAGAGGTGATGATGAACTTAGATTAAAATTTGAGAAAAGACTAAAAGTGGATCTGTTTTTGCTATATTCACATTAGAAATAGGTATTTGCAACTGTGTTACTAACTAGTTCTAACCCTAACAAAATATTATCTTGGGCGTCTCACCAGCGCTGACGACCCGGTTTGTAACAAAATCTCGGCATGGATACAGAAGGCTCGACTGACTTTAGCCAACTTATGTCACTTGTGGCGTATGCCGAAATATCTGTCTGCTAACCAAAAGACGAGTCTACTGCGCAGCAGTTTGCTCCGTCCTACTATATGTATATGAAACATGACCAGTATATGGCCAGGATATTCATAGGTTAATGGTGTTTGATCTTAAGCTTTTTTAATATATCCTGTGACCATGGAGTAAGCTGCTACCCCCGACCGAAGCTGCTACCTTGACGTGGTGGTCGGGCTTGCCTATCGTGATGACCCAACCGAGCTATACTGGCTGGAACATATGTTCCTGCAGGTCCTACCATGCCATGCAGGTCGATTGGAGAACGATGAGACTAAAAGCAGCTACCCAAGGTCTGAGGGCGAAGTCGTACTGCTGACTGCAGAGGGGTGTGACAGGAGTAAGGTGTTTCCCTCGGACAACCAGCATCTGCAGCGATGCTGCCTTCTCACAAGGAAGGAAGGGTTAGAAAACGTCGACCCTAAAAATGTCACACCTCCCCTAACTCACGGATTTCCGTCTCCCTGGGTAAGGGTGCCC